GCACGGAAATGGCGAGTAAGTCCGTTTTCATTGCCAATAATTGGTCGACCTGCTTCGCCACTTCCTCATGCCTCTTTTTGTATTCCAACTGTGCGTGGCCGCTACATCCACTTGTCACGTTTTGGATAGTTTCGCTCGCGGCCTCACATCTTGTACATGATAGTGGATGGTAGAATCTCTCAGAATGCGTTTTCTGTAGTTCAAAGTTGGCATCACTCGGCCCTAGATAGCTATCATGAAGGCTTCTGTATCCGGAAAGAGATCCCCATACTGAAGCCATGCGTGCGACGCAGAGATGTCGACTTCTTACTCAGCTCATGGGGGTACCTTCCGTGTCGTGTCTTCGTTTTCCATTAGGTTATCCTCTGTTCGGTTTCAGTGGTTGGCTGAACAGGCTGATCAAGGTTTTTGAAGTTGAAAGGATTATAGTTATTATCAACTGCGCTCACTGCTTGCTGAACTCTCCCACAATGTTGCAGGAAGTATCTTCTGAGTGATGCAATTTGAGAGCTGTGTAGATTTATGAGATCTACAACACCTCGCCGACACTCCCTCGTGATTTTGGAAGGATAAAACGCTTAATACTTCAAATGAATGATGTTTTGATGTTAGAATAGGCGTTCGAATTGTCCCTGCCGGTTGTCGGAGGCGGAATTGCTCCATTTAATAACTCAAAGGAGTACGTCATCACTGATAACAAATTTTGAATTGATGGCCTGCACTAAGTTTCTAGCAAGAGTGAGTTTTGAAGAGTCCATGCAAATCTATTCACACCTTGTTTTGTTAGTAATTTCTGTGCCAGCTTAGTTTTTGATTCGGAAGGATCTGTTGTATACCCAATCTTTGTAAGCCTTCAATGGGTTCATGAAGTAATTTCTTTTTCATATCATTTTTCAAGACCAAATCATATTCACTTTCCTGCACTTATCCAAAACGGAATTTCATCTTGATAGTCAGTGAGATTCTCCGTCACGCTTATAGTTTCTGATATGACTTCCTCAGTTCTGCATAGACCTTCAGGTCCATCCATGTAAAGAAAGATGCGAGCTATAGAGAGGGTTGATTCCCTTTTTCTCAGTGCCATGCCACTAATTAGATGCAGTATCGAGTGGACGTTGATTTCAAGGCTAAGTAGAACAATAAAGGCTTAATCGACCGGGATGGTGTGACGTTTAGCGGTACCTGGATGTGTTTATACCCAAGCTCCGCGGGTTCAAACCCGATGAAGCCGTGGATTTATTAGGCGTCCTTCGTCGCTTCCTTCGAAGGTGGTCCGGCTTCCCGTTAGTAGATTTACTGTCATGTAAAAGATCCACAAGCCTAAATGAACGCCTCTTGAGCTAAATTGAAATGTTCCTCTGTTCTCGCCCAAGAATACCTTATCTCTGCTAGTTAGTGAAGGAGCGTATCGAAATTTGCGTGGTCAAAGGACGGAGATCGGGCTGATGGGCAATGTACGTTGCGGACGCTTTTTGAGGAGAGAGTTCTATCATCAGGCATAAACGAGTCAGACCATGGGCGGCCACCATCACCATCGACGACGCCGGTGGCGCGCCGGGCGGCGGTTGAATCAGCACCAAAGAGGGAAGGCCCGGAGATTCGCAGGTATGCGCGCTTCGACACGCGAAGGCAGAGGTTGGCCGTGCAGGGGGATGGCAGTTTTTATTAACGAGCGTGAAATGTCAGTTAGTGCAATATTGAACAACAAATGCTCATATCTAGAGCGTTGTGTAAAAGTGAACGGCATTTCACATTCAATTGTTTTTTCTTTGAAATGCACCGTAATGCGGAAAAGGAAAAAATGTTAATGGAGGCGTTAATTTACATGTTGATAAAACAGACTTCTGACAGGATTCTCTAACTTTAAAGCCAGTGAGTGTCGAAATAATCTCATGCGACAGGGCTATAAATGTAGGTTATAGTTTTACTATTCAACCGAATGGTATTCTGAGATTGGAATGATTTTTTTTTTTTTAATTCTCCGCGATTAAAAGAAGCATACCAATTTTTCGATTTTTTAACCATAAATTTTTTACTAGTAACATTATGAGAAAATAACCCTGATCCACTTTAAGATACCTCTTTTGTCTGCCATCGCCGCCAGCATTTTGTTTTTCTCAGCGAACTCGTTGGCACGAGTTTTTGAGAGCATGCGATGAAAGGAAGCCGTTTGGCGAAAGAAAAGTAGGGCTAGCTTAGTGCATACAAATTGCTGAGCGTTCAAGATCCATAGTGTTAGTGAGAACGGTAATGCCCTTCGTTGCTGCTCATAATATTTCCAATGAAATATGATTATCTTCTCAAACTTCGTTAACTATTTCTGATGATTATTGATCGTCAAATTAATTTAAAAAATAATACCCGTTTGGACTGTCAAGATTCTGCAGCATTTCTATCTGCGTGAAGCTGAATCCGCTTATAAAAAAATAAAAAAAACGTAACAAAACCAATATTAATTTTGCAAATAAAATACAAGAAACAAAACTTTTAGGAAACGTACCATTTTTACGTTCTCGCTATCAATATCAAAAAAAAACAATACACGTCTTTCTCCCTCTCGCAATGACAACTGTTGTTGCCTCCGTTCCTGCTGTCACGTTCAGCAACGTGTCTCGTATTCCCTTTTCAAAGTTCCGAGCCTCTTCGCCTGCATTCCTGGCAGCGCTCTGAGAAGCGGAGATGTAACTGATTTTGTGAAACGAAACGTTTTGTGCTGATGTGCAGAAAAAACAAAAAGGGTTTAACAAAGACACCTGCTACGAGTGAGCATCGATTAGTTATTATGTAAAATATACTTTAAGTGTCCACTTCCACCTTTTTCTGAGATGTGCACGAAAGTATGTAAGCAGGAAATCTTACATATTTTTTTACACTAACATGCCCGGTGGAGATAGGTTATTAAATATATGAAATATGCATCGTGTCTGTGAAAAAAAGGTTGAGAACTCTCATTTTCGCGTTTTGT